CACCGAGTCCGAAGTCGTCTGCAATAGTAGTTGTCATGATTTCCCGCATCCGACCGTGGACTTGATACATACTCAAACGTTTCGCCGGCCTCGTAGTCGGCATCATCAGTCAGTTTTGCCATTCTCCGCACCAAGATACGAACTCGTCAAAGAGACAAGTCGTTTGATCTTTCTTAGCTGTTGTAAACGTTATGGCATCCCTGCCAGTTTTTACAATTCGATGGGAAAATATCATTCCGATAAAGGCAATGCAAAATTATATAAAGCTCCTTTACAAAAATTAGAGGAGACATATGATAGGGAGAGGGGAAATTATTTACGTTTCCAGCTATTAAAGCTAGACTCTGAGATGATCTTAGTCAGATTCTCACCCCGGAGGGTTTCCTGAAAATACAGAAAATGACAAACAAAATGGTGAAGAGGCTATTGTAAGTGAGTAGGTTTTCGAGACTACCAGTAAAGCAGATATATTTATTGTTTTCATTCTATTTCGTTTAAGGTGATGAAGGATTGGTAGTTGAATATTTTCCATAATGCTATGAGTAGAACTAATATTTTCCAATGTATTTCACCTAGATCTATGATCCCATTGGACTTGTTGAAATGTGACGTAATGGTTAGTGTGTCGAGCTTACGCGCTGCACTGTCATGGTTCGACTCCCGTTTGGGGTGTTGATAAGACATGTGCGAGGTCGAAACTGCAGCCCACGACGGAAGAGAACATCTTTTTGGGAAAAAAAGGCTGTGTGAAATTCAATGGAGCTCATCAGCTCTTAACAATCTTTGTGGGTAAATTCAATTACCTGTACTTCATCACCTTAAACTAAATAGGATGAAAGCAACTCATGTACTGATTTTGATGTTTAGCAGCGGCCAATTGACAAGGGGGTGGAGATGATTACGCTTCACTAAACCCACTTGTAGCGACACACTCGTAAGCGACATTGGAGGACACGAGAGTACAGAATTTTGTGAATAAGTTGATAGGCCATGTGAAATGAGGTTTATAGAAAGAGATGCGACACTGGAAGGTAGAACAAAAAAATCAGGACGAAAAGTGATACCACAACGGTTGTACAGAAAATTGATAAAGTGGCCTTCACTTGCCACTTTGATAAGTTGTAACTCTGTGCCTACGATGGCGCCTCTCACTGATGATACCGGCGAATCGTTTGGGAATTTACCCAGCCAATGGTCCAATACTGGAAATCACGAATATTATGGCAGAGGACACTGGACTAGCTACGTTACACAAGGTTTCATTGACGCTCTGACTAAGTTGCAAAAACGAGGTTGAGTCAACACTATAAAGCTAAAGGTGACTGCGACCAAAATGAAGGACACCATCTTGGTCTTCATACCTAATAGCCAATATTGTCCATTAGAATCTATAGCATTACTTTGTACTTAATGGATATGATTCTAAATTATCCGTTTGACTTGTATGATAAGTTGAGTTGTCATAAGTTAATTGAAGGTATGAAAACTAAAATAGTTTGTGAGCTGTCTTCAACCTATTTAGTTTATGATAAGGAATGAGTGGTAATTAAATTTTCCCACAGTGATATAGGTAGACATGACGCTTTCAGTGAATTTCACATAAGCTTGTTTTGCCAGAAGATATTCGTATACAGGGTGGAACACAGTTTCTATCCCGCTTGACTCTTATCAACACCCCTAGCGGGACTAGAATCATAACAGTGCAATGTATAATCTCGACACTTTATCCCCTATACCACATTGCTACTAGTGCGATTGAGTCACAGGGAAAATGTGAATTTAAAGGAAGTTCAGCCATTTTCTCATATCACATTCTTTGGTGGGGGAATACATCTCATATTACTGACTTACTGATGGTCTCAAAACTCTGTTTATATACGAAAAATAAGTAATGTAATCGATTTTTATAGCAAAAATACGTTTGATTCATCGAACAATTCCACCAAAAATGTGGTATGGGAAGAGGCCTGGCCTTCCAGGAAATTCCCATCTGCCCTGTGTCTCAAGGGCGCCAGTGGCAATGTGGCTGATTGGCTAACATGTCAAGTTCACATGCTGCAGACCTATGCGAGGTCGAACCTGCAGTCCATCCTGGATGAGAATAACTTTAGGGAAAGCAAGGCTCTGTGAAATTCAATTAAAACGTCAACTCTACTCATATCATCGTGGGAAGATTCAACTACCAGTCCTTCGTCACCTTAAACGACATAGTGTGAATACATCTCATATAACTAATTTACTTGTAGTCTCGAAATTCTGCTTATTGACGAAAAATACTATAAAACGAAAAGATACTGCGATCATACAAAAGGCCACACCATCTTATTCTTCATACCTTTCCCTCAGCACTATTCGATTGCAAACTGACTCGAGCGTGCAGTGAAGACGTCGAAAGAGTCTATACACCTGAGCTTGTCCACAATTACTGAAAAAGTGGCACAAATTTGGAGATGAAAGATATAGGCGTATTGTTTATCTCAATTCCATTTCGAGTGAAGGTGTGGAATGGAGAGATTCGAAGGTCAAGCTCATTAGAAGACGACGGCAGATTCCTTCTGACCATCTGTCGATTGACATTTCTGCAATTGTCACCAAGGTCATTTCCATCGGATAAATCAAGTCATG